GCCCTCCTCATATTCATCACCGTTGCCATCCTCATCGGCTGCATTATTAACGGAAGGAGCTGCTAGATTTGAATTGACTTTATGAATGAGTTTATTTTGAATGGCTGGCTCGAGAAAATGCAACGGTATTGGTATGGGACTTGAAATGGCCACTGGTGTGGCTGGGGAGGAGGAGGAGGAGATGCTGGCGTGCGGATGACCATAGAGTAAATATGTGTCTTTTGTGTTGCTACTCTCGTCTGCCTCTCGGCTGGGCACCGACGAGGCAGCATGTGACTTTAAAGCAACTCCGGTTGTATTAATTAAATGTAAATGAGTGCTAGCCGTTATTGTTTTTGTTGCTGTCGTTGTTGCTGCATTCGCGTCAGACGCATTTCCTGTCAATGGCAAGTGTGCTGGGTCAGCTTGTGCCGCAGTTGCTGGTGACATTTTTTTATTAGAAACGTTGGCCAATGAGGATTTGGTGTGATTTAAAATCGCCAACTTATTAACGGTGGCCTGGGTTGATGCCACTTCTCTATTGAATTGTGTCTGAACTGGTGTTGAGTTTGTTGATGGCGCATTGGCAGCTGCAGCATTCCTATCATTCGCCGAGGGAGTTGCTGTTGCATTTTTTAATTTCGTTGCAGTTATTGTCTCATTATTTTCCTGCTCCACTAAATTCCCCAGCTGGTAATCACTGCTGGCATCAAAATCGTCAACATCGCCATCATCCTCATCGTCATTGTCATCGTCATCGCCATCGTCATTGTCATTATTTTGCGTTTCATCGTCCCAACTGGGCATTGGTGGCGGTGTGATGCGCGGCGCTGCCGTTGAGGTCAACATGAACTCATCCAAAATCTCGCAATTTTTACCCAAATATCCTTGTTTGCATTCGCAGCGATAGCTGCCATCATTCTTGGTGAATGATATGCAACGTCCGCCATTCGCGCACGTATCCGGATGTTCATCGCAGTACGTCAGCTCTGTGAATGTGTTTAAAAGTATGAAAAATATATGAAAATAAAAAGTAGATATTTTCATGTTTTCGCCAGTGTGTAGAGTAAATTATAGTTGCTGCTTTAACACTTCTACGTCTACTCACGTTCATCGCACAGCATCCCACCCCAGCCTGGTTTACAATTACATTCCCACGGCCGTTCACAATCGCCATTCACACAACCTGGATAGGGGAAGCATTGGTCACAATTCGCGCCCGTCCAACCGACTCTGCAGCTGCAAAACAAAAATAAAAGAAACAACAAGCAGCGTACATATAAATGCTGGCAATGAGAGCGGTGATATAACAGCAATTCAATAAGTTTTGTTTTTGAAGCCATTTTCAACACAGCAAACTCACCGACATTCTCCGGGTTTGGCACAGTAGCCACGCTGTTTGTGACAGCCCGTTGCACAAATAGCTAAACAAGTGTAATGAAAACAATCAAAAAACAATGAAATGAACAAAAACAATAACAGCAAGAAACGAACAAGCTCACATACACACGCCCATAAACATACTCAACCGCTTACATATACACGCCCAGCCAGCAGAGAAACGTAAGCTTTGTCGACAGTGTTGTCTCGCAAAATTTTCCGTACCCGGAAAGGAATAGGAAACTACTAAAACTTTCGTTCGTTTACTCATTAAATAACGCTCAAAAAACAATGCCGATTTCGTATACGGAAACGAACGAAAAACGATTTAAAATTTCGTTCGTCCGAAAACCGATCTAAAAACATCGTGCTATATAAGAGCGATAATTTTTTTAAATTTGTTTAATGAACATTTAAATTTATGTATGTCATAAAAATTTTTGTAATTAAATTTTATATTAGTCGATTTTATGGTCATTACAAATGGTATGTGTAAAATTCCAGACATATAGCTGGAAAATAGGCGATATTTTTGACGAAGATATATTTCAGGTGCGCGATTTGGTGAAAATTAAAAATCGCTTTGAGCAATCCCTAAACGATCACCGATTTCTCTAAAATTTCCACTAACTGGGTTTTTCTTAATTTTTTCAAATATTTGGACGCATCGCTCATAAATTTCGGAAAACCGCTTTTTTAAATCAGTCTAGTGTGCAAACGAATCTAAAAAAAATGGAAGCATGTAAAATATCTGTCGCAGCTATTTTGTAATTTTTGAAATTTTATGATTTTTTTAATTTTAATAATTTTAGATACATATGTATGTATGTATTTCGAAATGTTGAAATTAATGGTGTTCGCGCAGCATGAATTTAGGCGCAATTTCCTCGACCTCTTCCGACACCAACTGGGCAAACACAACAGCATTTAGCGCTCGTTTCCGTAAGTTCATCAAATCTGGCCGATATGATTTCCTGGACTTAGTGGAAACAAATTAAGACTTCAAGTAAATAAAACCCAAAAACAGAACCAAAGCTTTTCATCCATACAAAAATTACATCATAAGAACATCGATTGACAACTTATGCTATGTAAGTATGTATTTTAAAAGCAATTGAAATGAAATAGATAATCGTAGAAGTCCTATTGCCACTACCACTACTATCGCAGATGTCAGTGAGAAGGTTCGATGGTTATTTTACTAAATGCTATAAATAGGCAATTTTACTGGAGGCAAGTGGCCCTTGACTACAAGTGTCACTGAAGATAGCGGCGTTTCTGCTCGAAAGAAGCTATTTCGTAGTGGACTCGCTACGTTTTCTAAGCGTAAGAAGATATTACGGTTGTTAGCCAAACTAAGATACCAAGTTTATATATCGTCACTAGACACGAACAAAAGCGGCAACTGATATTAGATTGGTCAGATCAGATTCGATTATTGTTTAGAGAAGGGGGCAGAGCATATAGCTACAAGTCTTCTTTGATCTGGGCCTACTAAGTTCTTCACTGTAAAAGATAATATGCTTAGCTTATCCCTCTTGACACTACCTGTACTGGTAAGAGGAAATCACTTCCAGGTGTCACCAGTACTTCAATACTCTACCAACAGAGGAGCCTTTAACAATGCATTGAATAACTGTTTTTTTATCCTTGTTGATATTTCATGGACGAGGTTTTTAGCCTATCAGTTAACTCCTGTATTTATCTAGTAATATTGAGACTTCCCTGCATCAAATTAAATTGTCAAGTGGCTATATTTGTTGGTCGTCCCGCTTTCTCTACATTTTGCCTCAGATATACAATGTATTTTAATGGCATACAACTCAGCTAAAAAGGCGTCTATTTGGGTAAAAGGTCTTGCAGTTGGGTGTGAAATTTTGCGGAAGATATAAGCCCAATAAGCTAATAATACCCATCCAACTTGAGAATTTAAATTTTATGCCCCACTTCTTCCCTGCCAATTCCATATAGAAGCAATGGTTTTTTGAATAAGACCGCTTGCCATCCCCTATTTTTGACTTCTTCAGTCGAGGTTTTACATTGTCCCTCTTCTGGCGAAATTAAAGATAATAGTCTCCTTGGAGCCGATATTGAAATTATTTTGACGAATATATTCAGCGATTTCTATAGGAGGCTAGTGGTGGTGCCTTCGAATCCACCTCTGATTAGGATCAAAATTGGAAAACCGAAGCCCTTTTCACTAAAAAGAGAGAGCAGTTCGTTTACTGCGATGGATGCTCCATAATACAGGGTGGATATCTTTTCTTCGTGGAACCTCAATCTTTCCTGCCCTAGACATTTGGTCATTTTGGACATTTGATCTTTCAAGGAAGATTTTAGGCACGGAAAGGTTGTAAGATTGTTGCATCGGTATGCTTTTCGCTGGCCGGATGAATTCCTACTAATTCGAAGATGCTTCTGCCCATTACTTCTTGCTATAGCAGCAGTAGGGATTTTGGCGCATATTCTGCCCTGAATTTAGTTAGCAGTATTAGAAAAGCAGGTGTGGAGGTCCCTTCTGGAGATGAGCTGTGAGGATAAAATCTGCTTCAGGGTGCTTGAATCAATTTTAAATAGGAGCAATGTATGACAAATAAAAAATTTCAAAACAACACGACAAAGTTTAGTTGTAACCGATCAGCTTGGCGAAATTTGCGTACTTTTTAAAACTTTCACTAAAAAAAGAGCTTGGAGATACTTTCCGAAATATCTGTATATAAATATCGTTAAATTTTTATATTGTCTACCAAAAAAAGGGTGCATTCAAAAACTATTGATTTCAGGCTAAAGCCTAGAAACTAAAATTTTGTGCTTAACATAAAATCGCAAGCACACACTGAATTTCGAGCCATTCGTACGCTTGAATATATGTATGTGCAAGTATACAAGTGCGTGCGTTACAACAAAATATTTCCTTTTTTGAATTTACGGAATTTTTCAATTAATTCCCACTTAAGCCACACACACTCTCACCGCACACCCTCTACTACATACATACATACATATGCGTGTAGTATTTATGTATAGTCACCTGTTTGGCACAGTAGCCCTGTATAGCCGGGCAAGCAATTGCATTCGAGTGGCTTTTGACATGTACCATGTTGACAGCCGGGCAGTACGGCACAGTCACTGCAATTGCGCCCAGCCCAACCTAGGCGACAACGACACTCACCAGGGGCCTCACAATAGCCGCGTGTATTGTGGCAGCCCGAACGGCAGGTTGCTAAAAACAAAGCAAAGTTAAAAATGAAATTGATTTTGGAACACGCAAGTGGCTATACTTTTTTGCCTATTGATAGGTGTATGTGCATGTATGTATGAAATGTATGTATATGTGAATGAAAAATATGGTTAAGGCCTACGAAATTTTGCTTAAATATGAAATATCTTCTTAACGTATACTCGTATACGTATGTACGCACACACGTACATATATTCAGATTCACTTACGTTCGGTACAAAATAGCCCATCCCAGCCTGGCTTGCAGATACATTCGAACGGTTTATTGCAATAGCCATGTTGGCAGCCCGGCAGTGGTATGCAACGTTCACAGAAATCGCCTGTGTAACCGATGCGACAGCGACACTCGTCCGGACGTTGGCAGTAGCCTGTCAGAAGAATAAATCATTTAGTTTGTGTTTGCAAATATTCCGACAAGTGCATAGGTATTTTTTTTTTTTGTGATCAGCTTAAAGAAGTCTGCTGTTGAATTTGCTTTTATTAATTGGTCTGGGCATAGCAGCCAAATGTGTTGTCATTTATGAGTGTAGGTAACAATGAAAAGTGTTAAAATCGATAAAAATGATGCAGGCAAAGCTTTGAAAATGAATTATCTATTTACAATTGAATAGCTTTTGGGGTGTGTGAAAAGTTTGTGATCAGCACTGATAGTGATATTTTATGGAAATAAATAAAGTTCTCAGTTATTTTTTTAATTTTGCATTCATATAAATTTTTGCTTTATATTTAATGCCAGCTTAGTTAAATCACTGTAACTTATGTGGATACAAGAAGAAAAATTGGTTGAATGACAGAGCGTATGAGTGACTTTAATTTGTCGAATGAGAGATCCTTATCGAATTTTCTTGAATCCAAGACATTAATATATATTATTATCTGTATCCATGCCCTTATATAATTTATTATTTCTTGATTTAATTTCCTAAACTATTGATTTTGTCTTACCATTCATTGGATCGCATCCTTTGCGACACAGCGGCACTTGACACAGGTCGCCTTGCCAGCCGGGCAGACATTTGACATTACCCTTTTCATCGCAAATGTAATGTAAATTAATTTTCTCTCTTTGAGATTTTTGACAAGCCTGAAAATAATAAGAAATATTGCAGTGTAGTATAAATAGTTAATAATTTGCTTATGTAGCAATTGGAATGTAATTAGGAATAACAATTGCATCATAAAATAAATTTAATTGCTCTGAGTATTTGATACACATACATATGCATGTATGTTTGTGTGTTAGGATTGCTTTGGACGGTTTTCCATGAAATTTTGCAAACACCTTATGACCTGGATTGAAAAATAGGCTACTTTTTTTTTAAAGGTGTCAACTGTTAAATTAAATAAATAAGTTTAATGAAATATTACAACACAGTTGTCAAACGAAAACAAAAGTTGAAGAGAGCTTTGGAAAATGTCTACGTGCTAGCCTAGCGATCCGAAGGTTGCAGGTTTAAATCCAGAATTTTGTTTGGAAAACAATTTTTTATTATCTTATTTGTTTTCCACTTTTTGCACTCAAATTATCCAATTTATTCTCAATTTTAATAAATAATATTATTTATAAAAATTAAAATTTTTATTTTTCGTTGCCTTTAGTTAGAAAGCTTTGCTCCTAAGAAGAAAATACTTAACAGCTTTTTATTTAGTTTTTATACTTAATCATCATGTATTTCAGAAAAAACTTAAATGTATTTCAGAAAACCTCAAATGTATTTCAGAAGAGGCCAAACATATTTCAGAAAAGCTCAAATGTATTTCAGAAAAGGCCAAATGTATTTCAGAAAAAGCCAAATGAAATTCAGAAAAACACAATTGTATTTCAGAAAAGTTCAAATGATTTTCAAAAAAACGCAAATGTATTTCCTAAAAGGGCAAATTTATTTCAGAAAAGCATAACTGTATTCTAAAAATATTTTTGTGAAATGCATTTGTGCTTTTCTGAAATACATTTGCCCTTTTCGGAAATACATTCGCATGTTTCTGAAAATCATTTGAATTTTCCTGAAATACAATTGTGTTTTTCTGAATTTCATTTGGCTTTTTCTAAAATAAATTTGGCCATTTCTGAAATACATTTGAGCTTTTCTGAAAGTCATTTGGCCTTTTCTGAAATACATTTGAGCTTTTCTGAAATACATTTGCGTTTTTCCTAAATACTGTTGGAAAAGGTGTAGACATTTTTCTAAAAAAAAAAACGAAATTTTGATGAAACTTTTTCGAATTTTCCTAATTTTTTAACACGCAAAGTCTGAAATTCGGACTTATATAGTTTTTCTAAAATAACTAGCTTAAATTTCATAAAAATAATAAATATTAAATAACTGCTACTGTAAGTTAGCTTGGTGCAGAAAATCACTAGTTTTTATTGCATTCAATATGGAACGGCCGTATATTAAAAGTGAAAAAGTGGAAGTATTTTTAATTTATTTTTTAGCGAAGTAAATTGAAATATCTGGGCCTAAGTTCATATATAAAATAGCTGACTAAAACTCACCCTTTGTTTCCATTCCGGCATATCCGAGTTAGCATATCTCAAATCGTAGTTACGTTTATGGTATGAAATAGCTGGCAGTAATGTTGGTGCCAGCGTAAAGTAGGCCAAATAAATAAGCCAATTGCAAGACATATTTTTGTGTTGTTATTTAGCTTCTTGTTTACATGTAATCTTAGTAATTATGCAATCGAAAGATACTCAATTAAACTTTGCCAAACACGTTTTTAATTGTTTTGTGTTTTTTTTTTTTTGTCATATAAAACGCTCATCAAAGAAATTGCACTTTCTTTTGGCACAGATCCAATAGTGAAGCCGGTGAATGCAAAAAAGTAAAAGTATATAAATATGGGCGCTAGTAAAAAATAAACAAAATAAAATATGAAAGCCAAGCAAACGCGTGATATTAAAAAAAGCGTACATAGTTTGTTGTCAGTGCATTTATTTGGCACACGTGAATAAATGTGTATGCCTGTACATTAGATCGTACCAGACACAAAAAGTTCGCCGCAGGCCACTGAGTCTGAAATATTTTTGCATGGCGATTTCAAAAAAAAAGTTATATATATTTTCTTTAATATTTTTTTTTTTTAATTATTCGTCATAACTTCAGCATGTAAAGTAAGATTTAGAAATGTTTTTGTCTCGAGAAGAAAATTGTTTGTTTCAATGTTCATTGACCCCTAGTAACCCGTTCTAGTACTTACCCAGCAGATCTCAGTTACTACCACCCTAATGTCAAGTAAATTAAAGCTATGGAAGTATTTAGATTATTCCAGTCGAACTATAAAAAAAAAAAAAATTATTGTCGAATGTAGGTGGCACCAAAAAATGTAAAAAGGCGACTATTAGGTTGGGCAAAAAAAATTTGTTTCGAAATTGCCTTGCAAAAATACTTAGGACACAAAATTTTTTTGTTTGCTGGTAAGCTGGTACGGTCTAATGTACACAAGTGCGCACAAATAAACAACATGGAAAGTGAGAAAAAACGCGTCGCGAAGCATGTTAAATTATCGTTTAGCGCGCTGTGGCTATTGAAGCCAATGCGTCTGCGCGCATACTGTCCAAGTATGCATGTATGCATGTGTACAACAACAAGAAGTGTAAGAATAAGAAAAAAATAAAAAATAAACTAAAAAATTAAACAAAATAAATTAAAATAAAAACACTTTCGACGTGCAGTAAATGGGTGTTGGGAGAAATTTCGATGACAAATCGCGATTGACGAGTGGTAGTTGTTTTTTTTTTTTAGCGAGTAAACGACTTTGACGCGCATGAAAGTGGAAATTCAATTAAGATCAAAATTTTTGTATAAAAAATCCAGATATGGAAAATTTTTTTAATTCGTATGACTTCACAGCATTTTTAAAACATTTGGAATTAATATGCATATATTGTTTTTTGCAAAATATGCCTCTCGTCACTGCTACTTCTATATGTTTGTTGAAAGTGGGTCACATTAATTTTAATAGCACATCAAATTTTTATGACTGGAGTCGGTGGCAGTACATAAATAGTTCATGCCACTTTAAGTACAAGTAGTTACACACAGTTAGTAATGATACAAAAAAAAATAATCATAGCCACAACTCACTAACAAATTTAACTTATGTATGTAAAAAATAGAATTTCAGTTTGTTATACAATTTTTTTTTTTTAATTCTTAAAAATTGCACTGCTTCTAGTAGTACCTAGCAAATCATTCTGCACTTTTTTGCATAAATTTTCACCGATTTTATCTCTTCTTTTCTCCTTTTTAATACAAACAACTTACTTCAACGTTCGCCCAACGACTGCGCGCGCAGCTCTGATCAAACTAATTTCTTTTTCACCACTCAACTGCAATTCAAGTCCATGGCCAAGTGAAGTATGGCTTGAGTGCTTTTCAGTTTCACTTCTTTATTGTTTTGCAGAAACGTGTTTTGTAGTTGAATTTGAGCGTGAGTGAGAGTAGTTGAGAGTTGGCTTCGGTGATAAGTTGATTCTGAAGTGTGTCAACCGGTCGGTGTTAATCAGCTGTTTCAGTTGCCGCAAGTTCTTTTTAACGCATTTCAAGTTTGCTATTTAAACTGCGCTCTCCGGTCATTAAACATTCAGCAGTGTAATGTATACACTGGAAGAAAATTATAGGCTAAGCAGCAGATGAAATTGTGTTGGTGTACAACTGCGGAGGCTTGATTATAGATAAGGTACTCAATTGATGTTATAAAAGTAAGCAAAATGGAAAATTATAAAAGAAATATTTGAATATGAAATTTATGCTATGTGTTTGGCCTGTAATTGTGTTGTGAGTATTGCATTGTGATTCAAATGGAGGAACAGGGTCGGCAATTTAAAGAGCGCCACTTAATATACGCTTTCAAGCTGTAGAAGGGAAGGTGTCAACGGAAATAAAATAAAGAAAAATCAATCACAAACAAGCACATAGGTGCATCTCTGATGAAAAGGGCAACATTTTCCCTTTAAAATACAAGCTGTATCAGAAAAAAAGAGTAGAGAAATCGAACACGAAACGCCTATCACTTCAAAAGCTCAAAAAGATGGAAGAAAACTGGTTAGTGACTACTTTAAATATAAGAAAATGCGGCATTCCAACCGTCTCTTTCTAGTGAAAAATCAACACTATGTAAATAGTCCATCATATTCAGTGATTTTTGCACTTTTCTGACAGAAACTTTTCTGATAGAAAGAAAGAAGGAAGCACACACTCAATGCACCTTTATATAAATGCCCAAGATGAATTCATTCTAAGTGTTTACATTGCTAATCTTAACAAGACATCGTACATGATAGGCGTGTTGATGTACAGACAGAGTATGTGACGAGAGCCGGACAAAAAGTCTGAAACTTTTGGTTCCAGTATAATTGAGGAGTGTACAATTAAAAGATGACATTTCCACGAAAATTTTTTCGCAGGACGAGCAAAAAAAAGAGAAAAAACATACACATAAACGTAAAATGCATGTGAAATATCATGAATTTCCGTAAATTCTCTAGATAAAGGCCTGATTCCATTTAGAGCCTTGCTAGATTTCCATAACTGAAAACCCCTTCTACAGATAATCTATTCGAGCACTTAATAGATTTTCTCAACAACGTTATCACCCAATAGAATTTGGACAAGCCCTAGCAAGCAAAAATTGAACAGAGATAATCACTTCTGGCGCTGAACAGATTCTCGTAGGCCCTCAACTAGCACTCTCACGCAATATGTAGGACAGTATCTGTTTGGGACAGCCTTAACTTAAATAACTTTATAAGCCTAGAGCCTGGACTGGCTCCGGAACAATAGCTTCCCTTTGAGATAATCACTTTTGGTGGTGGGAAGATTTCTTTAACTGAGATCATTTTTGGCAGTGCCAGAACTGGCCGTATCTTACAAAATCCAACCTACATTTTGTATCAGGGACTGTATGGGAATTTCGATTAGTAATTCGAGATTTAATAAGATGGAAGCTAAGCTATCCAGAATCACTGATCGTGATTGTTAATACTTTTCGTTGTGCATTAAGTAGTTTTTCAAATGTACATAGCTCATTTTGTCGATAATAAATGCATTCGATTACACAAAATCCAGAAATAAGATTTCACTGAGCCTAAAGGAACAACTGGTACGATGAGGAATGTCTTGAAGGTTCAGAGGAAAAAAGTGCCGTATACAGGGCCATGCGCAAATCGGGCGCCACGAACTATGCTTATAGGACCCATATAGGGAGTCGAAGAGGGAGAGAGAAAAATTTTGCCGAAATACGGGTGTGTGCAGAGCTTGAAATGCTAGCCGACAGAAAAAAAAGCCGAAAATTTTATCAGGTAAGGTTCCAAAAACGGAGGCGAACTCCTGTAAGAATAATCATGGTGACCGAAATTATGGAGCGAACAAATTTCCACCATATTGAACGGCAGCAGCACTGGAACAAGAAAGGTGATAGCGCCAACTACTGCGGGATCAGCCTTCTAAGCATAGCTTACAAGGTCTTATCGAGTGTATTGTGTGAAATGCTGTAGCCCATTTTTTAACGAACTGATTGGCCTTACCAGTGTAGCATAAGACGTGGCAAATCTACCGAAGACCATGTATTCACAATATGCTAAATCTTTGAAAATACTAGCGAGAAAAACATCGACACTCGCCATCTATTTGTCGACTTCAAAGCCGCTTTCGATAGCACTAAAAGGAGTTGCCTATATGCCTTTTCGGAACTTGGTATTCCCGCGAAACTGAAACTGCTAAAATGAAAAAACATCTCCGAGTCATTTGCTCCCAAATGAGACTTCAAGCAGGGTGACTCTCTTTCGTGTTATTTCTTTAATCTGATGTTGGAGAAGATAATAAGAGCTCGGGAACAATTCAATACAGGAGCATGCAATTTCTGGCGTATGCTGATGACAGCGAAGTCTGTTCTGTCTTTTCCAAGTTGGATAATGAAATAAAGCGAATGGGTCTGGTTATAAACGAGGACAAGACGAATTATTTATCTCCTGTCAGCAAAAATGTTTAATTTGTTGCAAGCCATTATGCCATAAGCATGTGTGTAAAATTTTTCTTAAATGTAAAATGAGCTTTAAATACAAAAGTATGTTTATTTTAAATACCTCTTTCATATAAATTGCGTCACTTTAAAACTTGTCAGATTTGTTCTTTTCTTAAATGCATTACGCACATAATATGGATTTTTTCATTTGTACATTCTTACATAAGTATGTATGCATGTATTTCAATCTTCTTAAATCTTTGCTGTCAACATATTGTAAAGATAAGCGTAGCTAAGAGCTTGTTTTATAACTCTTACACAAATTGTAACTCATCCCTGCAAAAAATTGTGCGACTAATCTCTAAAGAGAGTATTCCGAGATTACTCTCAATCGGGTACAATTGGGCATTAATTAGTCCCAACTAGTCTCATACGGGTACTAATGGAGGTCAATTAGTCTCGACTCATCCCTTGTGGGTATAATTGGAGATCAATTAGTCCCCAACTCATCTCTAACGGGTACTATTAACGATTTAATGATATGTACGCTCTTAGTCAATGAAATTTCATGTGCGGCATTGGCACACAGAGAGAGTATTCGCCTAACAAAGCTGAGCACACCGGTTCGAATCTCAGCTGGCGGAAATTTTTATTTTTATTTTT